ACAAAGTGAGTTCAAGGCCAGCCCGAACTGCGTAAGTGAGACTCTGTCTCAAAAAGACAAAACAAAACAAACATAAAAACCAGGAATGAAATTTAGGAAGATAAATATACAACAAATATCTTTACATATGTTATGGTTTGTGTCTGCATGTCCCCCCAAATCCTCATGCAGGCATGGGTGGGCTTCTAGATTTTTGTTTGATCCGTAGTCCCAGGCTGGGATTATGGGTGATTATACCTGCCCCTGGGGCAGGTAGTTTGCATACAATGTAAGGGAGGGAAAGAGGTGGCTTGCCACTGTTCCTCCCTTTTGCTCTTGTTGCTTTTGCTACCTTCTATGGCCACAAACTGTTGCCCTCTGCCATGTGCCACCCTGCCTTGGAGCCACTGAGTATGGACTGAAAACTCCACAAACTGTGAGCTAAATAAACCTTTCCTTCCTTCATTTTGGGCTTCAGGTATTTTGTCTCAACAACAAGAAAAAAGGAACCAAGACAACATATACAGTGGTTCCTCAGTTCGTGAACTAAATTCTTTCCATGATTCTGGTCACAAACTGAATTGGATGGGAACAAAATCAAATTCAGTGTTGACCTTATGGGGAAATATGTTTTGGTTCTTTTCCAGTTCTGTTTTATGGGAAGAATTACATTCATGAACTGAGGTACATATGGTTTTTTAAACTTTATTTGTTTTGGTTTTTTGAGTTTCTCCCTGTATAGTTCAGCTAGTCTTGAACTCACTATGTAGCCCCAGTTGGCCCTGAACTCATGGTAATCCTCCTGCCCCAGCCTGCAGAGTGCTGGGGTTACAGATGTGCACTACCACAACTGTCCCATATGTTTTACACGTACATTACACCTATAAGATACTACCAGGTAAAATTCTGTAGCAATTAATAAGCTAATTCGAAAAGCCACACAGAAATACAAAAGAATGAACAGATAATCTTTTTTTTTTGCAGTATACCAGGGATCAAACTCAGGACCTCATGCTTGCCAAGCAGGCGCTTGTGCCGCTGAGCTATATCCCCATCCCTGAACAGATAATCTTAAGCCCCAGCCATTCAAGAGGCTGAGGCAGGAGCACTTGCAGCCAGGAGTTCAAAGCCAGCTCAGCTACCAGCAGTGGTGGCACACACCTGTGATCCCAGCATTTGGGAGGCCAAGGCAAGAGGAACCCTATGAGATCAAGGTCAGCCTAAGCTACAAAATGAGTTCAAGATCAGCCTAAACTGCGAAACAAAACCCTGCCTCCAAAGGAAAAAAAAAAAAAAAAAAAAAAAAAGGAAAAAAGAAACAAGTGTTACTTTCCTATATCTTAAGGAACAGCTAAGACCATCTCTCTTTTGCAGGTGCTGAAACTCCATCAGTGATGCCAAGTGAGTTTCAGGGGAACCAAAACAAGACTGAATGCTGCACAGTCCACCAAGAAATAAGGGCCACCTCAGTGAACAGGTGTCCGTACCTCCAAGCTCCTAGAAAGGAGCTCGTCTAAACAGGAGGCGAAATACACTACATACATGCACACATATGAGGGGTGAGTGCGGAATACAACTGGAAAATGCTCATAGTCTTTTACAGCCATCTGCCTGTCATTCAAAGACCAGAATGAAACCTGCTAAAAATCTCCTCCACCTAATGCAGACAATGGTCCCTTACTTTTTCCCCTTTTATGCTGTGCTTATCTCCTGCTGTTGGCAGAGTCCAGTTTGAGGCAGGAAGACGGCTCTGTCAGCATGCTGTCGCCTGAAAGCAGGAGGAAACACTTGGGACTCATCAGGGGCAGCATGACTTCAGAGCGGACAATCTCATTCCGGCTGAATTACCTTTTCCAGTATTTGTTCCCTGTCAAGCCATGCCAGCAGCCAACAGAAAAGTGAAAGGATGAACAAGTACATGCATACACACACAAAGAGGAAAAGAGACTCAGTACAATCCGCTCGTACAGGTATTTGTAACATTTCAAATAAGTACGACTGAGTTTCAGTAGTTCGTATTTACAAGGTAAAATAATTTCAAAATGTAACAGCCATACAACCATACATACGGGTATTTGACTCATAAATACGACCTTGTTTCAGCACCTAAACACCAAATTAGTCATTTACAAATACGCTAGAAAATTGCAGCCAGGCGTGGTGGCTTGTAGTCCCAGCCTGTAATCCCAGCACTCAAAAGCTGAGGCAAGAGGATCACTGTGAGCTTGAGGACAGCCTGGGCTACACAGTGAGACCCTGTCTCAAAAAATAATAAATAAATATTCTATATGAAGTCTAAGAGGTTTCTTGTAGCTGTACAACCAGACTGTCCAGTCTGAGCGTCATGCTGGCCCTAATGAGTCGTGTGTGTGTGTGTGCATAATATATTATATATATAATTATTACATAGAATATTATTATAATACTATTATATAATAGTATTATAATATTATAGAGTATATAATACTCTATAATACTATTATATATTTACAGATATATATTATATACATATATATCTCCCCATGTAAGCCCTTTCAAGGTTGTGTGGTGTGGTCTGCAGACATTTTCCACTGTTTTTTTTTGTTTGTTTGTTTGTTTGTTTGTTTTTGGTTTTTCTCCGGTACCGGGAACCGAACTCACAACCTTGCGCTTGCCAGGCGGGCGCTTTGCCGCTGAGCTAAATCCCCAGCCCATGACATTTTCCACTGTAACAAAGAGGCCAGTCAGTGCCGGGTGCGGTGAGTGAGGGGGTGAGGCTGCCTGCCGCGTTTTTTACAAGCCGCCTTTCCGTTGGATGGTAGGTGGCAGCAGCACTCTGCATTTTTTTTATCACATCTCGTGAAGATGTGAAAGAAGACTTCCAGAACTGCTTCAAAAAGTGACAAGAAGCCAAGTGTGGTGGCGCACACCTGTAATCCCAGCACTCAGGAGGCTGAGGCAGGAGGATTGTTGAGAGTTCCAGGCCAGGATGGGCTACATAGTGAGCTCAAGGTCAGCCTGAACTGCATAGTGAGACCCTGTCTCAAAAAGACAAAAAAAAAAAAAAAAGGTGACAAGAACAATGGGGTAAGTGTGTATGAAGTGAGGGGTGACCATTATGAGGGGGAGTTAATGGAAATCCATATTTCACTATAATAAATATTTTAAATTTAAACATTCACCATATATCTTAATCACCCCTCATACTACAGTGGATGGGTGGAGAAACATCCACCCAGTAGCGTATCTTAGCATATCTGCAGAGTAGAATACACTCAGCAACAAAGCAGAACAAACTACTGATACATCCAACCTAAGTGAATCTCAAAGGCACTACGCCAAGTGAAAGAAGCCAGTCTCACCAGGCACAGTGGAGCACTCCCGGGAGGCTGAGGCAGGAGGATCACCACAAGTTTAGGCCACCCTGGATTAGACAGTGAGTTCAAGGCCAGCCTAAACTACATAATGAGATTCTGTCTCAAACAAAACAAAACAAGCCAGTCTCAAAAGGTCACCTAGTACATGATTCCACATATACGAAATTCTTAGGAAGACAAAATTATAGTGGGGTAGGAGTAGGGAAGGTGACCTTGAACATAAAACTGTTCTGGATTCTAATCGTGTGGTAGTTACAGAAGTGTACATGCATGTTAGAACTCATGGAAATATACACCCAAAATGTCAATTTTACTGTATGATAACTTTGAAGGTTGAATTTTTAAAAATTTTTAATTCCTCGGGGGATAACTAATAAAGTAGAGATTTTCAAAAATTACAACCTTACCTCTAACTATCAAAAATAGAATTTTTTATTGTTTCTGCATGCCTGTACTTTCTACATTTTCCTTTTTTCTGTTTTTTGTTTTCCCCTTGAGGCAGGGTCTTACTATGTACTTCAGGTCGTCCTTAAACTCACTATGCAGTCCAGGATGATCTCAAGCTTGACGTAATCCTCCTACCTCAACCTCCCCTAGTCCTGGGATTACGGGGATGTATCATCATGCCCAGCTCTTACATTTTCTATAATAAACATTGCTTTTATAAATTTTTTACATCAGTAAGCTTTCTTTTTAGTCAAGTGAAATTATATCCAAAAGAAGTTTCAAAACTTGTTTTCTAATCTGGCTTATCTGCTATTATCAGTGCTTCATTATTATACAAATCTGCCGATTCTATTCCTCAGCTCATCTCTTTTTTTTTTTTAAGAGCAGGAAGAACTTATTGAAAGAAAAGCTTCTATCTAACAGAGAAAGAAGGGGGCCCACAAAGTGGGTTCACCTCTTAGTCACAGTAATGCACACAAACCACGACTGGAGGCAGAATATCCGCAGGTGGTAGCATCTCGCTCACACAGCCACCAAGAAGAACGGAAGACTGTGTATATGACAGTGAGCCTCTGCACCTTGCAACGTTAAGGACATTCTATATACTGCCTATAGTACACAGAAACTTAGCAGGGAGAGGTCCGCATTTTCCTTCAGATCAACGCTATAAGAAGCCATGAACTTCATGGTGGGAGAAGTTTGCATCTTCCTACCGGCTGAATGATAAACATTTCTGTGATTTTTTAATATCTGACTCTTTTTAGACTTCCTGCTTTGTTGGCAGCTTACCATGGAGCACTTCGCTAGTACTTCCTCCTGGAATTTCAGGAATCCTTCCTGAACCTCAACTTCATTGAGGAAAAAAGCAAGGAAGTGAGTGAAGGGCTGCTTTCTTCTGAAAGTGTCCAAGAGAACATCGATCCGCGTTCGGGCTGAAATTACACCATTGCGATGCTGGCCAGTGATGACTGCAAACAAAGAAAGGAGGCTTAAAGTGCTGCTATGGAAATGTTTGCCAGACCCTTAACATTTTCAACACAGAACTGCCATATGATCCAGCAGTTCCGCTCCAGGGATCCAAAATAAGTAAAAAATGGGTGTCTTAAAAAAAACTGTAGCCAGCCAGGTGTGGTGGCACATGACTATAATCCAAGCCCTTGGGAGGCTAAGGCAGGAAGATCACCATGAGTTAGAGTCCAGCCTGGGCTACATAGTTAGACTCTGTCTCAAGAAACAAACAACAAACAAAAAACTTGTAGCCAGGCATGGTAGCACACATCTATATTCCAGCACTTGGAAGGCTGAGGCAAGAGGATCACAATTTCAAGACCAGCCCTAGACTACACAGCAAACTCCTATCTCAAAAGAATAATAAATCAGTAAAAATAAACAAAAACTCATACATAAATGTTTGGAACAGCTCTATTTACAATAATAACTAGGCTGGGCATAGTGGCACATGTCTGTAATCCCAAACTCAGGAGGCTGAGGGAGGAGGATCATTCGGAGTTCGAGACAAACTTGCGCTACAAAGTGAGCTCAAGGCCAGCCTGAACTGCATAGTGAGACCTTGTCTCAAAAAGACAAAAAAAAAAAAAGAAAAAAACTAGAAAGGGAAAACCCAAATATCTATCTGTTGATAAATGGACAGGCAAAATATGATATTTCCATACAATGAGATATTACCATAAAAGGAATGAAGTGCTGATGCATGGTATGATATAGAAGAACCTTGGAAACATTACGCTAAATGAAAAATAGAACAAGCCACATACTGCGCCAGGGAGTGTTGCTCAATGGTAGAGTGCTTGCTTGGCATGCACTAGGCCCTAAATCCAATCCCCAGAATCACACACACACACACACACACACACACACACACACACACACAGCTCCACATATGGTATATTTCCATTTATAGGAAACATCCAGACCGAGCAAACTGATAGACACAGAAAACAAGTGTCAAAGTTAATCAAAGAAGCCAGTGTGGTAGTGCACACCTGTAATCCCAGTGCTCAGGAGGCTGAGGCAGGAGGATTTCCACGAGTTCAAGGCCAGCCTGAACTACATAGCGAGATCCTGTTTCAAAAAATTTGGGGGACTTGGCCAGGGACAAATGATTAAACTGACTGAACTTTGGGCCAAAAGTGCATAGGCTCTATGAAGAATGAATGGTTAAATATGGGGCAAAAGCACACAAATAATTCAACTTTGAGGCAAAAGGCACCAGGCTCCGTGAGAATAATTAAACTGTGGAGCAAGAAGCACACAGGCTGTGCGAGAATCGAATGGTTAAATAAGAAGCTCAGACAAGCCAGGCTTGCTGTATCTGGCCACATCCTTCCCCTTTCCCCAAGAAAAACTGCTCAGCCTTGACACAGCCCCTGGCCAAATTACTTTTTCTCTTGCCTTTTCTCTCATACTGAGATTCTACATAAAAGCCAGAGAGTTCTTGGCTTGGTGGCCCCTTCTTCTCCCAGAGTCCCCTAATGGCTGGGCGAAACAGCCCTTCTGTGGCTCTCAGTGACTGAACCAAGTCTCCTCCCCAGGGATTCATCCTCCACACCACCCGAGGTCGCACACTGTGACAAAACACCAAAAGAACAAAAAGTTAATCAAACAACAACTAAAGAGTAGATATGATGAGGTTAAAAATATTCCACAGCTACTGCTGGGTGCAGTGTGGCACACCTGTAATCCCAGCATTCAGGAGGCTGAGGCAGGAGGATCATTGTGAGTTCAAGGCCACCCTGGGCTACACAGTGAGTTCCAGGGCAGCCTGAAATCCACAGCAAGACCTTGTCTCAGAAACAAAACAAAAACAGCATCTGGGGCAGGGATATAGCCCAGCGGCACAAGCACCTGCCTGGCAAATGCAAGGTCCTGAGTTTGATTCCCGGTACCAAAGAAAGAAAAAGAAAAAATCCAGTTACAAATACCTCAAGGGACTAGAATTTATTTGGCATAAGTCTAAGGACTACAATAGAAAACATACAGAGAGAAAATAATGAAAAGAAGGCCAGAGATGTAGCTCAGTGGCGCATCCACCCCACCCCTGCTATTCTTGTACACCTGCTAAAAATGTATAATCATGGGTTGATAAGGCCCAGTGAGCACAGCCACAGAACTCCCATCAATACTCAGCCCTGCGCTTGGCAGCAACAGCAACGCCCTGTGCTTTGGCAAGCCTCGTCCCTGGCAGGGAGCCACACTCCTTTGCATGGAGCTCCCCCGCTTCAGAGTCCACTGTGACCTTTTCCTTCCATAGCAGCCCCCTTATGTCCCTGACCCTACAAAAGACCTCAGAGCCTGCAGCAAGCAGCTGGTCTAGTGTCTAGGGCCCAAGCAGTGCCTCTCAGGTTTGCTCTGAAATAAACCTATCCTGCTGAGCTCATACCTGTTTGCCTTTCTCCTAACAATCCTCCCAGAGTGCTGGGACTACAGGAGGCGCCACCACATGCGACTTGTAACTTCAATTTTAAAGCTTAAGGAAAAACTCAAGATTTGCACTTATAGCTCTAACAAACCAAATATTTATTTTACTAAAAGTGCTTCTAAAATGTTGCTAAGAGCTGGGGATATAGCTCAGTGGCAGAGCATTTGCCTGGCATGCACAAGGCCCTGAGTTTGGCCCCCAGCAGAAATAAAGAAAGAAAAAAGTAAAATAAAATAATAATGCTAAAAGTTTTTATGTAAGAGTTTGCTGAACTTGCCAAAGGGCTAAGGAAACCCTAGCACTGCACTGTCTAGTGTGGGGCCCACGTGCAGCAAGTTAAATGAAGTAAAATCAAATAAAACTAAAAGTTCAGCTTCTCAGCTGGGCGTAGTGGTGCATGCCTGTAATCCCAGCACTCAGGAGGCTGAGGCAGGAGGATCATTGCAAGTTCAAGACCAGCCTTGGCTACAAAGTGAGCTCAAGGCCAGCCTGAACTGCATAATGAGACCTTGCCAAGGAAAAAACAAAAAAAAAAAAAAAAAACCTTCAGCTTCTCAGCCAGACTATCCATATCTCAAGGGTCATAGTTACACATGGCTGCCAGAGTAGCTACAGGACATTCTGGGCATCACAGAAAGTTCTTTTGGACAGTGATATTCTAATGTACATGGCTACTTACCTATAAAGGTGATTATTTATATGAGCACAAAATAAAGAATACTTTTACTAGAGCCAAGTTGAACCTCTCCTCCATTTAAAAAAAAAAAGTACTTGGTAATTTTTTCTGCCCAAATGTAGGGGTGTTGATGGACAGTGGATTATTGGTGGATGGGCATAGTGACACGTGCCTGACACGTGCCCTGCTACTCAGGGCGAGGTAGAGGGAACACTTGAGCCCAGAGTGCCAGCCTGGGCAATGTTATAAGACCCCATCTCAAAAAAAAAGAGAGAAAGGGGTGAGGGGAGGGGACAAGAGGGGAAAGAGAAGCAAGAAGAGGAGAAGGAGAAAAAAAGAAATTATTGGAAGCTGCTGCTCTGAAGAAGTCCTATCATTTTAGAATGCATTTTAGAAATTTTGTCCTCATAGTAGCCCTCACTTACTGCAAAACGAAAGCTGTGTCACTGGTTCACAGTGAAACACGGTTCAAGACATTCTGTGGCTTGATTTATACCACCAAACTGTGCTTCCTCATCTGAGCAGTTATTTGAATCAGATTATGTTACTGTTCTTATCATTGTTTAATCATATTTTACCTTACATAGCCTTACATTAATCTTAACATTTTCTTGCTGGTCTAACACAGCAAGGGTAAAAATCTTAGCGAATACATATCAAAGGGGTGAACACTGTTTCACATTCCCTGATCTAATTGATTTTTTTTGGTTGTACCTTAAAACAATACACAAACAGCATCTGAAGCTACGAAGGAATAAAAAAATCTAATGCACAAGGAAATCTGGAAGTTTCATTCCATCAGTATATGGTCAGGTCAAGCACATGATCAAGTCAAAATCAAGGCCCAGGTACACAGTCAAGGGTAGGTTGTGTGCACCTGTGCTCATCTGGGAGCTTAACACCACTGCCACAGAGGCGGTGCACATCTGTAGTCCCAGAATTCTGGGAGGCTGAAGCAGGAAGATCCTAAGTGCAAGCCCAGCCTGGCAACTCAGTGACTTAGTGAGACCTTGTCTCAAAATAAAAAGGGTTGGGGATGTACCTCAGTGCAAAGGCCCTGGGTTCAATTCCCAGTCCTGAAAAAGAAAAAAGAAAGGCCAATAGCTACTGAGTTTCAGAGAAAGAGGTCATTAAGTGACTCAGTTACCTTACCTTGCTCCATTCATGGGAAAATATAACTTAAATACACTGATTCTCACCTATTTCTCCATCTTGTCCAGGCTTAGGAATAGTAATAGAAGTTTTGGTCTCCATTTCTATTTTCTTCCTAGTATCACCTCTCTTTCCAACTATATGCCTATAAATATGAAGAAAAATTAATTAACAGGAGGTTAAATCAAAATATTCCAAAAATATTCAAAATATTCCTTTATGGTCAGAGATACTCCTTTACAGAAAAGTACGTCAGTAGAAGTTCACTATTACTAGAGCAAATTACAACTATCCAGCTTTATAGAACACACTACATTACACTCACTGGCAAAATGACACCACACAGACTGACCAGGACCACGTCCTGTCTGCTTCTGAAACTCAGATTCAAAATCTGGGTCTGTAGGGCAGTGAAGAGACATCTGGCACACTCTCAAAGAGCACTTCCAGCAACTGATAGGGCTGCAATTTGAGGCAGGAGCACCTGGCATATTTTGGAGGAAAAATTAACTGTATTATGAGTTTATCCTAAGAGAATTATCTTTGACTGATTAAAGGTAAACAGGTTAGCAAAGAGCAGAGCTCGTCATTCAGGATAAGTTCAAAAGCAGAAAGAGTAAACCCTCAAGGTGAATTCTGCACACAGCAGGAGATTTCACCTATATATTTGCAGGTTCTTGAGAAAAACTGTAAGATCTGACTCATGGTAATGACAGGCTGGAGCCAACCCAAGAGTACCCAAGGAGGGGACAGGGGCTTATCACAATCCTTCTTGCTATCTTTCATCTACCCCACTTCATTTATTAATTCATGCAGCTTAGCTGCCTGGGCCTTCTAGTATACATCACTGGGACACTCCAGTCGTCTTCTAGAACCCACAGGAATTACACGTGTCAAAGTGAACACATCTGTGAAGCACTAACATCAGAGGAATAAAAAATTAAGAAATCTCTGTCATCAATATTATTTCAACTATGATTTCAATTACAGACCCACTACCATGGGTGACTATGTCTAAAACCATCCTTTTATTGGGTGGGGGTACTGGGGATTGAACCTGGGGCCTCATGCATGCTAAGTATGCACTCCATCACTGAGCTACACAGCCCTTATTCACTTGTTTTCACACAGGATAACTGTTATGGTTTGTGTCTCGAGGTCCCACTAAAGCCTCATGCAGTCATGGAGCGGGCTTCTAGAGTTTATGATTGATTCATGGGTGTAAGTGCTACACACACGGGGTCGGGCAGTTTGCATACAATGTAAGGGAAGGAAAGAAGCTTCTTGCTGCCGCTCCTCCCTTTTGTTCTTTTGCTTTGCTGTCTTCTGCTGCTATGAACTGTCGCCCTCTGCCATATGCCACCTGCCTTGGAGCCAGCCAAGTATGGACTGAAACCTCCACAAACTATAAGCTAAATAATCTCTCCTTCCTTAAAGGTATTTTGTCTCAGCAAGGAGAGAAAAGTAACTAAGACAATAACCAAGCCTAACTACTTCCATTAAGATCTACCGTGA